AAGTTCTGCTGTGTGCCACCATGCCTGAGATTGAAGGGATTTTTTTTTTCTGGTATCAGGATTTGATCTTAAGGCTTGGCACTTGTTTAACTTGCTTGGCTGGCACACTGCCACTTGAACCATGCTTCCAGCCTGGCATTTTTTGTTTTTTTCCATGATTATGTTGGAGAGGAAATTTTGCCTTTGCTAGCCTTTGAATCTCAGTCTTCCAGATCTCAGCCTCCTAAATAGCTAGAATTACAAGCATGAGCCACCAGTAATTGTCTGTTTTTTTGTTTACAACTATGTTTTATTTTGGTTTGGTTTGTTTCCTCAGTACCAGAGTTTAAACTCAGGGACTCAAGCTTGCTTTCCAGCTCAGCTTATTGCTAGTTATTGTGGAGATGGAATCTCATCATCTTTATTGCTTAGGGCTGGCTTCAAACTTCAGTCCTCCCGATCTAAGCCTCCCGAGTATTGGACTTACAGGGGTGCACTGCCAGTGACCATCTTCAGTTCTAACCAGATACCAGGCAAAACTGATCATTTTTGTTTGTTTGTTTTGTTGGTCGTGGGGCTTGAATTCTGGGCCTGAGCACTGTCCCTGAGCTCTTCAGCTCAAGGATAGCACTCTACCACTTGAGCCACAGCGCCACTTCCAGTTTTTTGGTGGTTATTTTGGAGATAAAGAGTCTCATGGACTTTGCTGTCCAGCTGTCTTTGAACTGTGATCCTCAGATCTCAGCCTCCTGAGTAGCTAGAATTATAAGTGTGAGCCACTGGTGCCCGGCAAAACTGCTGATACTTTAAGGATAGTATCACATTAATTTTCCCGCAGCCCTGTCAAGTAAGTGCTTTTAATCCTATGTTTTATACCTGAGGAAACAGAAACGGAAATCTTAAGTAACATGCCCAAGTCATAGATAGTTGTAAGGGGTATAAATCTTACCATAGCAGTCTGCCCCACCTGATTACTAAGCAAAACACAGTCCCCAAGTGAGAGCCACACAGATAGGGATTGAAGGTCAGGAAACCATTTCTTTATCACCCAGTGTTCCCATGCAGAAATCAGACTGTGAAGAGCGCTATGTAGCTTCCTCATTGAGAGTCCACACAGACAGTTACTCTCCGGTAGAGCAGAATGTCTCTCCCAGCCCCACTGTTGTTTTTCATCCAGTCTTGAGTTCTGAAAATGTGCCTGGGCCTGCTTAGCATGCTTAGCAGAGCAGTGGGAAATGTCTTCAAGTGGCAGGTGCCAGCTAGTTTTTTGGAATTAAAAAAAAAAAAAAAAAGATTTTTTGAAGCCCTATTTCTTCACCCACTGATGAAGAGGGATAAAAATGGTTTTAAAACAGTTAAATTACTTTTTTTGAGAGAAATACAGAAACAGAGGAGCAGGGAATATTCTTCTGCTAGTGAATGAGCATCTGTATTCTAAAGCGTGAGGCTTACGGCTATAATAGACATAGCAAGAAACAATTGCATTTAGAAGTAAGTGAACCAACCGATAATTCACATCATTACTGAGAGATTGAGGAAGTAATGGCGACATTGCATATATGATTAGGGATCTATCTCTAAAACGAGGGACACATTCGAACATGTGATTAGATCCAACCGTTAAGTGTGTGTGCTGAATGCTGGAAGCCAGTACTCACAGATGAGGGTCTGAATGTCAGAGGATTTGCTCAGTGTATTACCAGCTGTACAGTCTCTTCTGGCTCAGTTTTGTCAAAGACTGCTTATCCAGTTTGAAAGAAGGGACGCCAGATGACTTAAAATTGAAAAAGATGGGGTAGGGTAGAAGTGAATGCTTCCCTAGCATGCACAAGGTCCTATGTTCAAATTCCCAGCAAAATAAGGAAGAAACATTATGTCTGTGTTTGGTCTCCTTTTTTATTTGTGTCTCCTGATTGTACTTACTGTAGGCTTACCACCTCTTAGGAAATGTGTCTGTGACTTCTTCGTCCAGGCTTGGCTGCCTTAATTCTGGCTACCAGAGGTTGAACTCTGAATCCTTGTTTGTTTCAGGTTTCTGTCCTAAGCTGCCCTGATCCAGAGGTGCATGAGATTGCCTATCAGTATGGAAAGAATGTGGGAATAGCATTTCAGGTCAGTGTGCTTCAGATTTAGGAGAATGGCAGTAGTGATATGGCCACAGTGGTGTTTTCACCTTCCTTATCTTCCCTTTGCTAGCTCATAGACGATGTACTGGACTTCACCTCCTGTTCTGACAAGATGGGTAAACCAACCGCTGCTGATCTGAAGCTCGGCTTAGCCACTGGTCCGGTCTTGTTTGCTTGTCAGCAGGTAGGACTCGTACACTCCTTTGGTGGCAAAAAGCTGGGGGCCCTGCAGGGTTTTTGGGCACAGTTGGTAGGAAAGTTGACATAAGGAACAGCTGTGGAGGCTCTTTAGATAAGGGGTCATGGATCTAGATTTGATCCTGGTATCATGAATGAGATTTTGAGGCTTCTCATTTCACCTTTTTAAGACTAATCTGTAAAGCAGAAATTGCAGTTTTCTTCCCAGGGTTGTTTTCTTCTTTTTTCTTTTTGTGCTGGGACCAGCCTAGCTGATTGGCTTGTTCACAGCTGGTCCTCTACTCTTTAAGCCATGCCTCAGTTGGCCTCCAGCATTGTGAGGAATAAGTTTACCATGTAAAGAGCTATGTGCGTTTAAGGTAGCACTACATCTTGATTGTAGACTGTTCTTCAGGTTGCCTCAGATCCCCGTAAAGGGCACAGGAAGAATCAAGGGCTTCTAAGCCTAAGCAATTTAGAGGAATCCTAAAGTCCTACAAATTTAGGGGGACAGTTGACTCCCTTGGGAGACCTCAGGGCTTCAGCCATTAGCTCAGGATGGCCAATGGCATACTCTAGAAAAACATAGGGGACTGTCCTTCATACTCTCCTTGATAAAGGTGGGAGGCTAGGGAGCCTCAAAGACAGAGCAGTGGCATCCCCGGCAGGCCTTTCACAGCCTGCTCTGGACACTGGCCACACTGCCTTTGGCTGTGCCAAATGGTATTTGAAATAAGTGGGGCATCAGTTGAAGCTTGGACAGTTTTTTAAGATAGATTTTCATCTTAATGACATTTAATTGGTTATTAGAGTAGGAATGTACTCAGTATGCCACAAAATGTAAGACTGCCTTTTTAATCTTAGAATTTTTAGCAAGTAGCCTTTTAGAGATTTTTGCCTATTCTTTCTTAAAATTTACAAAGATAAACCATGTATTGCTGTGCCGTGTATGCCATGTCTGCATGATGGTACACACCCGTTAGCCCAGCACTTGAGACACAGAGGCAGGAGGATTGTGAGTTTAAGGCCAGCTCTGTCTTACAAAACAGCCAGGTACCAATGGGTGGCTTGTGCTTATGATCCTGGCTCTTCAGGAGGCTGAGAGCTGAGGATCAAGGTTCAAAGCCATCCTGGGCAGACAAATCCAGAGAGCTTTATTTCCAGTTAACCAGGAAGAGTTGAGGGAAAAATTCAAGTGGTAGATCACCAGTTGTGAGCAAAAGAGACCGAGCAAAAGGCCCTGAATCCAGGCCCTGTGATTCACACAGACACAAACAAATAGTTAACTATATAAATAATTTAAAAACTACTACAAATAGCTACTTCTTTGTAGTAGTTATTACAGTCTGTAGTCTACAAACAAAATAGTGAGCTATGAAAGGGTCTTTTTTCCTACAGAGACAGAAATCACCAGCCTAAAACTCAGGGAGACTATTTATATGTGTGCCAAGTTCAGACAAAAATTTATAAAACCCTCTTTCATACATTAAGACATAGTGGGGAATATTTTGTTTTACCATGAACCCATACACAGGCACAAAAAAAAAAAGTACTTATGAGCCATGTAACTATAGCAGTATGCCTGTGACTAGAAAAAGTTGACTCTGGCTACCATTTGTGGTGCAGTTACAAACCTTAATCTCAGATGCAGGTTAGTAAACTGGAGTGAAGAACAGTTTTATAGAGACTGAGTATGCTGAAATCCATCTAACTCAATAAGGATTTATTTAGCTAGGCGTGACATTACCAAGACAACTAAGGAACAAAGATTTCCCTGAAAAAGTTGATAGTCGAATAAGTTTTATTGGTATAGCTCTTAAAATTTTCATGAACCCCATGAATACTAATAGCCTAGTCCTATGTATAGGCTGGCCTCTTCTGAATTCTTTTGCTGTAAACCTATTTTGAAGGAAATTAAGGTACTGTCCTCTACCTAAGCCAGTTACCAGTTGATTGTGCCTCAGTGTAATGGGGCAGAATGAGAGGGGGTGCTGGGATGGGCCTCTTAAACAGATGTAGCTTATATATCTGTTGGTAATCTATAATAGATGGAAAAATGCTAGTTTGCTTTTTGTTTTTTTAAGATGGGGCAAGAAAAAGGAACAAATGAAAGGTTACATTGCCTCAAACCATGATTTTTTGTGTGCTTGGCTGGGAAATCCCAGTCATGAGGTCCTCACTCATTCTCACCAGACAGCATTGTCTCATCTGCCCATAAGACACTTGGAGAAGGAAGAATTAAAAGGAACTCTTGCCAGACACTGGTGGCTCATGCCTGTAATGCTAGCTGCTCAGGAGGCTGAGATCTGAGGATCGTAGTTCAGAAAAGCCAGTCCAGTCAGGAAAGGCTGTGAGACTTTTATCCCCAGTAAACTACCCAGAGAAAGCCAAAACGATGTCTCAAGTGGTAGGGTGCTAGCCTTGAGCATAGGATGCGCACATGTACATGCATGCACACGCGTGCACATACGCATTCACACACACAGGAACACTTGCACTTGCGGCCTCAGAAAGGGGAACACAAGATGAAATGTTCACTTCCCGCCAAGGAGGAAGTGACTAGGTAGGACTCATTTCATGGATAGGCTGGGTTTTTTGTCTTGTGTGGCCCAGGAGCCTGAAGCTCGCCAGACATGTATAGGTAAATCATTTTCAATAAAACAGCAAGTTTAGACTTCACTATGGATTATTCTCTCAAAACAGTGATTTTTTAGCAAACCATTCAAGAGATTTATAAGGTAGGGCTGGGAAGGTGGCTCAGTGGTAGAATGCTTGCCTCGCCTGTATGAAGCCTTAGATTCCATTCCTCAGTACCACATAAGCAGAAAAAGCTGGAAGTGGCGCTGTGGCTCAAGTGGTAGAGTCCTAGCCTTGAGCTGAAGAGCTGAGGGACAGCATCCAGGACCAGAGTTCAGACCCATGACCGACAAAAAAAAAAAAAGACACACAAACCTATTTAAAATAAGATTTATAAGGCTTAAAATTAATTTTGTAGCTAGGTGCTGGTGTCTCACACTCTAATCCTAGCAACTCAGGAGACTAAGATTTGAAGCTCAAGATTTGAAAGCAGCCCAGGCAGACAAATTTATGAGATTGTTTTCTCCAACTAATCAGCAAAAAGCCAGAGTGGAAGTGTGGCTCAAGTGATAGAATGCCAACCTTGGACAAAAAGCTAAGTAAGAGTATGAGGCCCTGAGTTCAAGCCTTAGTACTGGCATTAAAAATAAAAGTTCACAAAAATAACCTGAGAATACAATATCCTTAATATTTAATAAAAATATTTAATAAAATGCATTTTTATTTGTAAAGGAATATTTCTTACATTATTTGTAATCTCACAACTCTTCTATGTAGTCGTTATTGCAATCTTTACAAATGAGAAACATGATAAATGGCCCAGAAAGCAATTGAACATTCTCAAGTTGTCTGAGCCCACCATTGATGGTGCTGTGTCCACTCTTCTTTGTGGGGAAAGGACCTGTGTAGTATAGAGTTCCAAGGTGTCTGTAATCCTTTCCATAAGTGTATTGTAATCCTTTCCATAGATGCATGGCCTGTGTAATCTTTTCCATAGGTTAGTCTCGGAACTTAACTGTTTGAGAAGAGTCTCAGTAGACTAAGACACCAGCCTTGGGGAATTGTCCTTTTCTTGTTAACTTGGCATGGAGGGTTATCTTGAAACTCGTATTTGCCAAATCAGCACATTGCAGAAGCTCCCTCTCCTTGGAACTCCATTCTCTTAATGGGGGCAGGATAGGGGGAATTCTTTTGGTTGGTTGTTTGTTTTTGGGGGGGGAGTTGTACTCAAGGCCTTGTGCCTTGAGTTAATGTCCAAATCAAGAATGAGTTTCTTGATAACTGTAGGTAAGGAAGACTCAAGGAAAGTTTCAGGAACCTGTAGCTCAGTAATACAGTGCTTGCCTAGTATGTGCAAGGCCATTCTTTGGTCCATAGAAGTCCAAAAAAAAATAAAGGGCACCAGTGGCTCAGACCTGTCTGTAATTGCAGCTGCTCAGGAGTCTGATATCTAAGGATGAGGGTTAGAAGCTCTTCCCCCCCCACCCCCCCCCCCCCCCACACACACACAGGCAAATCTCAGAGACTGTTATCTCCAATTAACCAGCAAAAGGCCAGAAGTGGAGGCATGGCTTAGGTAGATAACTAGTCTTGAGTGAAAAAGCTAAGCAATAATATTAATGTGAGTCCCTGAATGCAAGCCCAGCACCTTGTACCAATAAAAGGCACAATAAAGCTGGATGCTGGTGGCTCACACCTGTAATCCTAGCTACTCAGGAGGCTGAGATTTGAAGATCGTGGTTCAAAGTCAGCCTGGGCAGGAAAAACCGTGAGACTCCTATCTCCAATAAACCACAAGAAAACCGGACGTGGCGCTGTAGCTCAAGTGGTAGAGCGCTCGCCTTGAGCTGAAGAGCTGAGGGACAGAGCCCAGGCCCAGAGTTCAAGCCCCACGACTGACAAAAAAAAAAAAAAAGGCACAATAAAATAAATTAAGTTTCAAGATTTCTGGGGAGATGCAGTAATGAGAATATATGTATTTGTGTATAAATATCTTCTTTAAGAACAAAAAACCTCATCTTAAATCTTTAAGAATCAATTGGCTGAATTGCTGTGGCAATCCAGTTTGGGGCCAATTAAGGCAGAAAAGTTTGGTAGACTCCATCTGCACAATAACCAGCTTTGGCTGACAGGTCAAAGCACTAGCTTTATAAGCGGAGGCCTTGAGTTCAAAGTAGAGGTGGGGGAGGGGGGGAGAGAATATATTGACTGAAATATTCAAAAAGATCTTCAAAAATAAAATGGAAATATTTCATTTCTCAAGATCTTTTTTTAAACTTTCCATTCTTCTGCTTCTCTTATTTGATAGTCACTAGACCTAAATGTCAGGATGTAGCCATATTTCCAGATTACATCACCAGCCTCTGCACCAGCTGCCCAGGCTTATGTTACTGTGGTGACTAGTTGGTGCCTCAGAGTTATCCAAGTTTTATGTGAGTAAATGTACTCAAATGTACTGAGCACCTCTGTAGTTTTGTATACAAATGGATTTCACAGAGTTAGAATATGATTCCTTCACAAGCTGCTATCCTACTGGCAAACTCTTAAGAAAACAGTTCTTACTTCTCACTAAACCTATAGGCAGGCAATCATTCTTCCTGTTTGCCATTTCCCATTTGTCCTCCACATGTGGGAATGCTGTGGGGGAGAACTTGGTATTTGCATATTAAAACTGCACACGTTTCTCAAAGGAAATATTCCTTCACCCTCAATGCAATTGCAAAAAGCATCAGGAAAACCACCCAATCTGCACACTTTATACTTGGTATTATGGAACGAGCTTACAATAAAGGCCCAAGACAGGGTCACATCAGTTTCAGGATATAATACAGTCCTATAGCCAGTTTGGGAATTTGGTATTTAAAAGCTAAAACTTGGGCTGGGAAGGTGGCTCAGTGGTAGAGCGCTTGCCTTGCATGCATGAGGCCCTGGGTTTGATTCCCCAGCACCACATAAGCAAAAAGAAAAAAAGCCGGAAGTGGCGCTGTGGCTCAAGTGGTAGAGCGCTAGCCTTGAGCTGAAGAGCTGAGAGACCGGGCCCAGGCCCAGAGTTCAGGCCCATGACCGGACCAAATAAATAAATAAAAGCTAAAACTAATAGCTACCTTTGGCTAAGTAAAAGTTGTTAATGGAAACTTTCTTGCTTATTTTATTCTTAACAGCACTTCAACTTGCTGGTTTTCACTTAATGTTTAGCCGTATACTGACTCTCTAAATTCTCTTAAGCATGCTGCTTATAGGACTTGGTTCTAACACCTAGCTTTGCTTTCCTCATGTACCATCATGTGGTGGAGGCTTTTCTATGTGTCCTGTTTTTCTTCCCCTAATATCATGGTGCTATGTGCAGGACAACTGGTTTAACCTTCAGGCTCACTGTGAGAGAAAAACTGGACATGTCAGAAGCACTGAGGTTTCAACGCCAAAAACATCTTACCTCTTTTTCCAGGAGCAATAGACTGCTAGGAATTAGACTTCACATCATGGGACAGATGAAAAGGCAGAGACACAAGAGACAGGAACTCATTCAGCTGGAGCAGTGCAGCAATACCAGGACTAGGGCAGAGATCTAGAACATCCTTTTTTGTCCTGGCTTCCTTAACCTTGCTAATGAAATGGTATCATTTTTTTTTTTTATCTTTAATGACTTGCACATTTTTAAAATTTCCTTTTGCTATTGGCTTAATTCCAGTCTTCTAGTTTATTACAATGTAAGTGTAGCTCTACCTCTCAATTTTGGCTACACATTAAAAATATTGGGGAGCTTGGTGCAGTGGTTCATACCTGTAATCCAGCTGCTAATCAGTCAGTGGAGATTGGGTCAGAAGGATCTCAATTTGAGACCAGCCCAAGCAAAAGGGTAGTGAGAATCCTCATTTTAATCATTAAGCAGAGTGGTGATCCACACCTGAGGTCCCAACTGCATGGAAGGCTAGAGGTAGACATGAACTCTGAGCCCAACCCTTGTCAAAAAGGTGAGACTTGAGAAATCAAAATTGGGATCAGGGTGTGGCTTATGCAGGTGTGGCTCATGTGGTAGAATACTTATTTAGGAAGCACAAGGCCCTGAGTTCAAATCCTAGTACCCCCCAAAAATAAAAAGGCCAAATAGAAACAAACAAAAAAGCCCTGGGAGCTTTTGAAATGATGCCCAAGCTAAATCGTAAACCAGTAAGATCAAAATCTTTGGTCACAGGATCTAGGCAACTGTATTTGAACCTCTCCAGTGATTCCAGGTGCAGTCAACATCAAGCACCACTTCTCAGATTTCTATAGGCTGCTTAAGTTAGAGCTCTGCACGCAATATCGTGCTTAAACAAATGTCAGTAGCTTTCAGTGATACTTAGTTTAGTATGTGAAGGTAGTATACCTAATTCCTATCCTTATCCAATACCAGTGGTCCACATTTGTTAGAAATGCATGCACAGGCCTAACCAATGATTCTGATAGCATCTGGTTTCACAACCATCAGTGAAATCAATGAAGTTTTAGAGATGTGCTCTGTTCTTCATTTTGTCTCAGTATTGGACGAAAGGTAGAACATATGAACAAGGACCGCCACAATCCCCAGACACCAACAATGAGTCTTTTAGCTCGGCTTATTTAAGTTAAGGAACTTACGAGTTTTGTACTAAATGCTATGGTTTGATATTCCCTGTACCACCTAGACATTTACTCCTTTGTTTCCTATAATCTCCTGTTACAACAAGCCAGTGTTGGAACACTTGATTCCTCCAAGAGAAATAAGTACTTTCTTTTTGGTTAGTTCCCAGAAATGAACGCAATGATAATGAGACGGTTCAGTTTTCCAGGAGATGTGGACAGAGCTCGACAATATGTCTTACAGGTAAGATTATTTTTAAAAGAAAAAGGGTACAATATGGGTACAATATGGCATAGTCTTTAAGCTAATAAATAACATTCACCAAAAGTGAATTTTAGATACAATACTAAGTTTTCTCAATTATTTGACAGATACTCAAACATGAATAGTGGCACACTCTTGTCACTTCAGCCATGTAGGGAGTGCAGGTAGACTGATAACAGTTCAAGGCTGGCTCCAGGCAAAATTCCCAGTCCCTATCTGAAAAATAAAACCCAAAAGGCCTAGGGGTGTGGTTTTGAATGGGAGATCGATCACCTGCCTAACAAGTGGAAGGCCTAAATTCAAACTGCACTAAACACATACTAAAAAAAAAAAAAAACTAAACTAAGCTCATTTTCCTTTTACAGTACTTCTAGATTTTCATTTAATTGGCCATGATAATGACCTGTGTGCATAAGTAGAAAACCATGATGTCCTGTCACCCAGACAGGCCTGCAGCCTAGTTCAAGTACTCATTCTTGCTATATATATATATATATATATATATATATATATATATATATATATATATATATAGCTAGACTATTAAAACAGTCTACTCATAAAGCACATTCCTCGTCTGTCATACGTTATCATTAAAAAATTTAAACCAAGCAGGGCATCAGTGGCTCACACCTATTATCCTAGTCAGGAGGCTAAGATCTGATGATCATAGTTGAAAGCCAGCACACCAGGAAAGTGCATGAGACTCTTAGCTCTAATTAATCAGCAAAAAAGCCATAAATGGAGCTGTGGTTCAACTGGTAGTGCCAGTATGAAAAAGCTAAAGGACAGCACCCAGGTTCTGCATTCAAGCCCTACAACTGGCACCAAGAGATAGATGATACAGATAGGCAGGTAGGTAGGTAGATAGAGGATTTGAAGTACAGAATTTTTCTATCCAAGGGAGAGCCATGGAACCCAGTTCAAGGGTTAAGAAGCTATGTCTAATGTATTGCTGGATATCTTCAGAACTTTTCTATAAGATGCTAAGTCTTTTGCATGTTTTTGCTATCAGTTTTGGGGTTTTTTGAGAAAAAAAAAACTGTTTCCAAATTCAGTCATCTGAAAGCCACATATCTGGTGAATGGGATGGACTAAGCAAACAATTATTAGCAAGTCTGATATGAGATCTGTACTCAGTGTACACTTAAAAATTCCAAGTAATTGCCTTTCAAAGATTGTGCCTTAAATTGAGTATTCTGTCATGCATCATAATTTGCTAATAGTTACCTTACCCCCCCCCCTTTGGGGGTTGATTTGGCAATATAAAAACATTCAGATGGTACTATATGGGGCTGGGAATGTGGCTTAGTGGTATAGTGCTTGCCTAGCGCACATGAAGCCCTGGGTTCAATTCCTAAGTACCACGTAAACAGGAAAAGCTGGAAGTGGTACTGTGGCTCAAGTGGTAGACTGCTAGCCTTGAGCAAAAGCAGCTCAGGGACAGTGCCCAGGCCCTGAGTTTAAGCCCCAGGACAGGCAAATAAATTAAAATTAATTTTTTAAAAAGGTAGTACCGTATTCGTTTAAAAAGTCAGCATTCCTGGGTTGGGAAGGTGGCTCAGTGGTAGAGCGCTGGCCTTGCAAGCATGAGGCCCTGGGTTCCATTCCTCAGCACCACATAAGCAGAAAAGGCTGGAAGTGGCACTGTGGCTCAAGTGGTAGAGTGTTAGCCTTGAGCTGAAGAGCTAAGGGACAATGCCCAGGCCCATAGTTCAGGCCCAAGACCGACAAAAAAAAAGCAAGCATTCCTCAGGGTCTGGGTATAGAAATAATAGTATAATCATCCGTCAGTCTCCTTTGAATGGTTGATTCCTGGGGCCCATCTTGGATACCCAATCCTTGTGTACAAAATTCCTTATATAAGCTAGGGTGGTATCTCTGCCAGTAATCCCAACTACTTGGGAGGCTGAGATTAAGAGGCTTGAAGTTCAAGACGAGTCTGGGAAAAAGTCCTCAAGAACCTACCTCAACCAATAAACTAATGGGCATGGCAGCTCATGCTTGTCATCCCAGCTACATGTGAAGCATAAACAGGACTGCAATCCAGGCCAGCCTGAGAAAAAGCAAGACATTCTTGGGCACCTGTGACTCACACCTGTAATCTCAGCTAGAGGATCAATGTTTGAAGCCAGACTGGTCAGAAAAATCCTACAGACTATTATCTCCAGTTAACTAGCAAAAAGCTAGAAATAGAGGTATGGCTCACTTGACAAAATGCCATCCTTGAGTAAAAAAAGCTAAGGAAGAGCACAGGAGTTTGAGCTCCAATACTGGCACAAGTGTATGCATGCATACACATGCACGCACACACACACACACACACACACAAAACACTATCTGAAAAAAATTTTTTTAAGGGGGAGCAGCTAGAACTGTGACTCAGTTGGTAGATGGCCGAGATCTGAGGATCATGGTTCAAAGCCTGTCCTGGCAGGAAAGTCGGAGACTCTCATCTCCAATAAACTACTCAGAAATGGCTGGAACAGGCACTGTTCTCCAGTGGCCTTGAGCAGAAGCAGCTCAAGGACAGCACCTAAGGCTGTGGGGGAGAGAAGGGGAAATCCTGCATAGTTGATCGTCTATAGCATAAAAAATATCTGAATATGCTCAGCAAGTTTTTAAAAATATTTTCGATTTGTGTGTCTAACTCATGGATTCTGAGTACTAGTCAGTGGAACCAAACTAAAGCGTGAACATATAAAAAGGATTCAAGAAGATACTGAATTCACAAAATAAGACATGACTTCTTCCCAAAGTGCTGGATTTTTAAACGCTAACTCAGTGCTTTACCTACCCTTGAGGTATATTCCCCGAGTAAGAGCAGGCCCTACAACATTTGAATTAACTTGGGCTGGGAAGGTGGCTCAGTGGTAGAGCACTTGCCTCGCATGCATGAGGTCCTGGGTTCGATTCCTCAGCACCACATAAGCAGAAAAAACCCAAAGTGGCGCTGTGGCTCAAGTGGTAGAGCGCTCGCCTTGAGCTGAAGAGCTGAGGTACAGAGTTCAGGCCCCATGACCGACCCCCCCCCCCAAAAAAAAAAAAATTAACTCAAAAAAGTGGAAGGTGATAGAAATTTTACAGAGATTGACATAACCATGTAAAGGAAGAGAATCACTACAAAAGGAAACTTACCAAAACTGGCTACATAGCAGAAGGTAGAACAATGCCCTCCAAATGTATGGTAACACCAAGAAAAGGCAGATTATTGTATTAAACAACATAGCAAAATTTGGCATATGCCAGGCACTGGTGGTTCACGCTATTCAGCTGGTGGCTAGCTAAGAGGCTGATACCTGAGAACTGTGATTCAAAGCCAACCTGGGCAGAAAAGTCCCCGTGAGACTCATCTCCAATTAACCACTCAAAAACTGAGAGTGGAACTGTGGCTCAAAGTGGTAGCACACTAGCCTTGAGCAAAAAAAGCTCAAGGACATCGCCCAGGCCCTGAGTGCAAGCCCCACAACCAACAAAAAAAAAGGAAAAAAAAAAAAGCATCTTATATTGTTAACTAGCGAGCTGTAAATACAAAATCAGAGACCATTCCACCATGATATTAAGTACTTTATCAAGGAAATAGGGAAGCCGAAATCTGAAGATCATGGTCCAAAGCCAGCCTGGGCAGGAAAGTCTGAGATTCTTATCTCCAGTTAACCAGCAGAAAACCAGAAGTGGAGCTGGGACTCAAAATGGTAGTGCTAGCCTTTTTTGAACAGAAAAGCTCAGGGATAGTGCCCAAGCCCTGAGTTCAAGTCCTGTAACCCACCACACACACCCCGCCACCAAAAAAACCCAACATTTTATTATTTTTAGAAAGAACTAACCTTAGAAACATTATTCAGAACTGTTTTTAGAAACATTATTACAGAAGAAAAAGTAATTCTTCTACTAGTATCAGAAGCTAATTCTATATGATGACAAACAATAACTAAAAATAATAACTAAAAGCAATAATATAGTGACCAAATTAGGACACAGAGTGGTCTAAATCCTCATATTTATTTTTTTTCTTTACTATTTCCTTCTCATGCTTGATAGGCAGGTACTCTACCACTTGAGTTACATTCTCAGTTCCCTCAATTTGCACATAGAAAAACAAAACTGATTATCAGGAAATAAAGCTGGAGCTTTGGGGAAAAGAAATAACAGATTTTTATCATAAACTCATCTTGGAGTTATTACATGTCCTTTTACTTCTATTTTCACTTAAAACTTTGTATAAAGGTATTTTATATAGGTACTTTATATAGTATTTTTTAATAGATAGCACTTTATCAATTAAAAACAAGAGAAAACAGCTACTTCATTTTTTTTTTTTGGGGGGGGGGGTTGGCTGTAGGGCTTGAACTCTGGGCCTGGCACCATCCCTCAGCTCTTCAGCTCAAAGGAGTGCTCTACCACCTGAGCAACAGCACTACTTCCAGTTTTCTGGCAGAGTCTTACGGACTCTCCTGCCAGGGTTGGCTTTGAACTGCGGATTGCAGGCATGAGCCACAAGCACTAGGCAGACTTTTTTTTTTTTTCTTAAAGCAAACACTGGCTATATGAAGGGGAACATAAATTATGATATTTCTAGGCTAGTTGCTATTAATGAGTCAGCTGCTTTATGTGCTAATGCCAACAGAATAATAATTTGCTTCAGGCTGAGAAAAGGGACTTCCAGAAGTAGCACAGGGAGCTAGAATCTCAAATTGGGAAGTGAACATCAAGAACATAGTTTTGCTGTATTGTACAATTCACCTTCAGCTCATCTGATCTCAAAGTGTATTTTAATCCGAATGGCAGATTTCTAAACAGTCGCTTCTATTTTGTTCTGTGTCCCATAGAGTGACGGTGTGCGACAAACAACCTACCTCGCCCAGCGTTACTGCCATGAAGCAGTAAGAGAAATCAGTAAACTTCGAGCATCCCCAGAAAGAGACGCCCTCATTCAGCTTTCAGAAATTGTACTCACAAGAGATAAATGACAATTGTTTCTGTTCTTTCTGGCAGCTATTTTACCAGACTGTGCCTAAAGAATTTTGTGGAATACATTGCTTCATGTGCACATAACCAAAAATCATTTCCAAAAATAATTTCAACTTATTGATGGGCAATTTTTTTTTATTGGCAGTTTTTCAGAAAACTTTTTAAATGTAATTAAATCACCTGAATCTGTCATTGTAGTTCTACACATCCTAATCGAGGTATCTTGATGGTTATATGTGGTATTGTTTACACTGTTAATATCCACATGTAAAGCCATTACACAAATAAATAATGTTAAAATTCAAATGAGTGTCTTATTTTACCACAGGAGGTAAAGTAAAACAAAAAACAAAACAAAACTGAAGTCTGCAAGTAAGTCCTCATTAGTTATATTTTAACAGTATCCAAAATTTCATATAGGAGAATGGTTTATTATAAAAATCTGTACATAAGATTTAGACAACAGGTTATATACAAATTAAAAGAACATTCCACTTGAAAAAAGGAAAGTAAAAGGTAGCTAGCTGATCACTATGATACTTTAAAATTAACAAAGGAAAAATTGCTATGAGAGTCACACTGATTTGGTAGCAATAATGGTCTTTAATTTTCAGAGATAAAGGTTTTGCACTAGCCTCACCATTCGCTGTGCTGTCATAAGTCTGTAACATCAGTACATAACTGCAACTTGACATCCAAATGCATCCTCAATACACAGAAACCCACACTTGAGTGCTCTATTTTAATATCCTAAGCAATATAGAATTATACACAGAAGAGAAAACATCCCTCTAATCCTCCCTTAAATTAAGAGGAGACACACAAAGTGCATGTGTTGCATTTCAGTTATGTCAAAAGATAATACAAACCTGTTGGTTAATTATGTCTCTGTTCACTGATTAACATCTATCTTTCCCAATTATTTTATTCAAAATCTTACTGTTGCTAGTGCCAATGAGTTACATAGTGCCTATTCACAAATTGCATCCCACTTTTACAATATGTAAAAGATCCTTTTCTTTCATTGAACCAGTGTATGATAGTCCACTGTAAAACTGAAGGACTGACATGGCAATCCTTAGGACTTTACCTATAGGGTGATGTGCACACTCTGGCACATTTTCTTAGCTTCAAAAATTACTTTTTAAAAAGAAATTCAGTAGATTGACTTGTAAATCAGATTTTAAATCTGCAAAAATCTGTCCCAGTGTTGAGACAGATTAAGATAAGGCTAAAATTTCTTTTCCATGTTATCACATTGAGAAAATAGAACTATAATTCTTCAATACATCAAGGGTTTTGTGTGTGTGTGTGTGTGTATTTGTGCGCGCGCGTGCGTGTATGTGTTTTAAAGCAAACCAGTAAGGGAAGACAAAAACCTTTGGTTCACTTACATATTTATAAATGGAAAAAAATTTAGAATTCAAGTTTCACTCATTAAAAAAATTAAGATACAAATTACAACATGGCAGATACTTGTTCTGTTTCCCACAGAGACCTCAGAGGCTCATGTAAGTATGAGTACTTGAGGCATTACACAAATTGAAGCATCTTGGAATTTTTAGTATATTTCAATACATAAATTTTTACGCATGCTTTAAGCAAACAGTATTTTAAAAAGAGAATCTAAACAAAAGGTATGACCAGCACCAGCATTTAAGTTTTCTGATTTTAGTATTAGTCTCACATAGCATTAGTAACCATGCTGCATTGGAACATGTAATGGTACAATATGAATCATGATTGTTAAATATTATACCCCATATCCCCAGAATATTTAAGCTGGTCATAGTTATCAATGTGTAAATAACTATATAAGCATAATCAGTTACAGACAGGTTTTGTATAAATTGCTATTTAGCAATAAACAAACTGCCTCAAAGATTTATGCTTACAGGTACACATTCAAATATACCAATAAAATAGCATATCCTGAAAATATGGGCACATTTTAAAACATTAAGACAATTCTGTTAACCATATAGTCCCACAGTATGACTGAGTAATAAGAACCTACTTTAAAAGCAAAGAGAATTAATCAGTATAGTGCATGATTGATTCAACATAGTTCCCAGGGAAGAGACCAGTCACTCGATTGCAGACTCCTTCATACCAGCCATCATCATTCTTCTTTATAACGTAAATGATTGCACCCTCCATAAATGACAGCTCATCATCCTTGTCTTTTGTGTAATCATATATTGCAACAACTATGGAGAGAACAATGGAAATTTCACATGAATATACTATATCCAACATTTACTTGAATTTAAAATTTTAATGATAGACAAGAGAACCATCTTTTTAATGAAGTCTTAATTCTTACATCACCATATGATCAGTGGCAGATCAAATGGACAAAATTTTATTACATTAAAATCAACAGATTTTACCAATCTTTTAAAAATGATTTTGAATTTAGAATGTAAGTTTTTTGTTTTTGGGGGGGGAGGGGTCCAGTCGTGGGGCCTGAACTCTGGGCCTGGACGCTGTCCCTCAGCTCTTCAACTCAAGGCTAGCACTCTACCACTGGAGCCAGAGCGCCACTTCCAGCTTTTTTCTTTTTGCTTATGTGGTGCTGAGGAATCTAACCCAGGGCTTCATGCATGCAAGGCAAGCGCTCTACCACTGAGCCAGCTTCCCAGCCCTAGAATGTAAGTATTTCTACTCATTTATCCAATAGTATTGTCTATAGAATCAATGATTTTCAAAATTAATTACTGGGCAAAGATCTTAGTTGCCTAAGTAACTAAGATTAGAGGCACTAGCCACTCACTACTAACCAAGCTATAATAAAAATGTATCTCATGTTCTTGGTTCCACTAACTAGTAAAAATACCAAACCAAATTAGGTATCTGTTTTCCCAGCTTCCTCCTTGTACATTTACTTCTTCCTCAAAAGACTCTCTCATATAATTTCTCTTACTCTTCGTATTCAACCATTAACAATTTGCTATCCTCTCCAGGATCTAATCCAGATAAAAGGTCAAACTCTTCCTTTTGTATGTACTATAAAGTACATACAAAGTCTACTCGTTTTAATATAGATCATTTCAGATTACACTAAAATTGAGTTAACATGACCTAAAAACTGCTTTTGGAATAGTCATGTCTTACACTGTTGATTCACAAATTCAAATGAAATTCAATTAGCAGGTCTGCTTTATCTTTAAATATAACCCTTCTAAATGATAATTTTCACTTACAACTAGCAGTCAGAAAATAATTGCCCATGGACAAATCTAAACCATTTTTTTATAAATAAAACATTCATTCATGTATTATCTCTACTTGCTTTTGCACTACAAAAAAAGGATATGTGCTGGGTACTGGTGGCTCATGCCTATAATGCTAGCTACTTAGGAGATGAGAACGGAAGATTGCAGTTTGAAGCCAGCCCAGGAAGAAAAATCCCCGTGAGACTCTTATCTCCAATAAACACTCAAAAACTAGCAGTAGTACTGTGGCTCAAGTGATAAGAGTGCTAGCCTTGAGCACAAAGGGGCTCAGGGACAGTGCTCAGACCAGTAAGTATAGCCAATAATGCTTAAAATACTATCTGGCCTTGGCCCTTATAATACATAAAGTATGCTGACCCCTGATTTAGTACTTATTTCAACTTATGAAGATATTTTTGTATCCTGCTCAAGTTAATTAACCAGTACCATTCCAAATCTGTCAATTTATGCAATAGTGCATTTTTCATTAGAAAGCTGCATTTGCTTGTACCAAGTAAAAAAATAGGGCAAAAACAGAATTCAATACCAATCAAATCTATTATCCTCACAGCAACAATATATTCCTATCTGAAGGGACATGGGAATCTAAAACAATATTCAAGTTGTCCTAAGTAAAAATTGCTATTTAAAATTAACTTTGGGAAAAGAATGCTGCTGGTCTCAGAGTAAGCCATTAACCTAATAAAGCAAAAAGAAGGAAATCTATTTCAAAGGCAATGAAAACTGTCGAATTAAATAACAAGTATTTTCAAGATCTGCACAGAAATACAGATGGCATAAATGGTATAAAACTAGAGAAAAATTCTCTAGAAACCTGAATAGTTTCTTATAATTTTATCAGGTTCTTATAATTGTCAGATGTTTATAAGGTAAACTTGGGATTTTAGAATTAATTTCACATATAAAATCGCTTAAAATCATCTAACTGCTGGACATCTGTGGCTCATAGCCAGCCCAGGCAGAGAAGTTTGAGAGACTCCACTCCAGTTAGCCAACAACAGTAAAGCTGGAAGCTTGCCTCAAATCATAGAGCACCAACTATGAGCAAAGAAAGCCAAACAGGCCGGGTGCTGGTGGCTCACGCCTGTAATCCTAGCTACTCAGGAGGCTGAGATCTGAGGATCGCGGTTCAAAGCCAGCCCAGGCAGGAGAGACCGTGAGACTCCTATCTCCAATAAACCACCAGAAAACCGGAAGTAGCGCTGTAGCTCAAGTGGTAGAGCGCTCGCCTTGAGCTGAAGAGCTGAGGGACAGCGCCCAGGCCCAGAGTTCAAGCCCCACGACCGACAAAAAAAAAAAAGAAAGCCAAACAGTTGCTGAGTTCAAGCCTGAGGAGGTATTGACTTTTTTAACTGAAAAATCTTAAAAAGCATTTTTCTCATGATAGTACCAGTGTATTTGAAAATATTTTAATATAACTGAGTTGGAAAAAACTTTTTAAACATTTACTGTACACATATGACTTCTATAAGTCATTTAACCACTTTTTGTCTTAGTTGTTTCATCTATATAAGCAAGGAGACAAATTAATCTGAAGCTGCAATCATAAGCAGTTTGGAAAGCACACCTATCACAATTTTTATTGAAATTATAAAGAACACTCCCCCTTTTTACCCCTACCCCCCCTTTTTTTGGTTGGTCATGGGTCTTGAACTCTGGGCCTGGGCACTGTCCCTCAAGCTCTTCAGCCCTGCCCCTCAAGCTCTTCAGCCCTGCCCCTCAAGCTCTTCAGCCCAAGAAGAGTGCTCTACCAACTGAACCACAGTGTCACTTCCAGTTTTCAGAGTGGTTTATTGGGAGTTAAGAATCTCGGAGTGTCCCCCCCCCCCCCCCCCCACGCGGCTTTGAATCACGATCCTCAGATCTCAGCCTCCTGAGTAGCTAGGATTATAGGCGTGAGCCACTGGAGCCCAGCTACCCCTCCCCTTTTATAGTGAGGAGGAATACACGGTTTAAGTAAGTCACCTTGGTTGGTAAGGCAGCTTACATTGAGAAATACTGGAAAAGGTGTTTTTATAGTTATAAAGCTTTATAATTCATCATCCTTCACATCAATTCCATGATAAT